CTGTTCCCAAGTATCTTACTTTCCACACCTAGTTGACTAATTAATGACTATCTAATCTGTGTTTAGCAATAGTTAATTCAATTGATACCGAAACAAATAATAGCCATCCATAACCACAAAGGACAGACTTGAACCGTAATACTTATGTCACTAATTCTATTTATTGGTCCAACAAACCTACTAGGTCTTCTTCTACACTCATTCACACTGACTATACAACTATCAATAAAATGCATATTTTATATAGGTTGTATGTAATATGTATGTTGTGTAACAACCTAACACTAGGTTTATAATGTTATAACTTGTAAGTTGTATAACACCCTAATAGGTAGCTTGTATAATTTCCTAACACGTAGTTTGTAAAACTGCCTAATATGTAGGTTGTAATACCCACCTAGTATAGACTATACAACATGTGATATATAATGTATAGGTTGCTTTGGGCACAGTGAGCTCTCAGTAAATATTCGTTAAATAAATGTTTTAAATGCAGTGAATCTTCAGGGACAGGCTTGTACACATAATCCCTCCACTTAGGAACCTAGGAGAATGTCATACACCTTTTGAATACTCTATAAATATTTTATAATAGTAACAATAATATAATGAGCATAATGCTTATGAATAAAAATATTACTCTTTTACCAAATTTCCTGAACTGGGGCTCAGGAACACATAAAATGTATTCATTCAGGGTTTCAGCTTAACGTAAACTGAACCCTAAATTACTTTTTTAAATAACTAAAGCAAATGAATCAATGTGTCCTTTAGATTTCAAACAGTTGTTTACAGGAACCAGGAGTGTGGGGCTATCATATTATAGGATGAAATAAGTTAGGCCCTCTTTTCTTTCTAGATTTAGGTAATGCTCTGTCTTATGTGTTTTCTGCACAGTCAGCAAGTGGATTAGTTTTACATCATTTCCTAAGCTTTGTACTGCTTACAACTATGTGGCAAACCAACTAGTAAAATCTGAGTGATGTGCTTTGGGATGTAGACAGGAGAAGCTGGCTGGATGGTCTGTTCCCTTCCGCTTCTCTATTTAAGATTTTTCCTCCCAGGGAGGCAGAAGCACTGTTTTAGAAGAGGAAATAGCAGAGTCACTGCCAGTCGGTATGTCTTCCAGATTGTGAGTCCCAGACTAGGGTTTTGTAATATTAATAAATGTTCCTTAGAAAGAAGATTTCTTAGGGGCATGAGGACCTTTGGCAAGGGTGAGAGAACAGTTTTCTTAGTAAATTTAGACCCCCCACAGCTGGTGGTGGAAAGGGTCTGCAGGTGGGGACGCCACAGACTCCACTGCACAGGGCGCTCTGCCCCGTTTGCCTGTCCTCTGAGGGAGATGCGCGGTGCCCAGGCTTGCACATGCACTCGCTCTCACAGGCACAGGCACGCACACATTCTTGCTACTATGTCTCCCCTTTAATGCTCTGGCATGAAGATAGATAAAACCCCTTCCCTCACATCTCTGTAAAAGATTTGAGAATGACAAAAACTAAAAAAATCCTCAATGATAACTGTGGTACGCAAGATTGTGAAAAAAAAAAAAGGCAAATGAAGAAGGGTATGGGGAAAAAAATTACTTCCAGAGGCCTGTCAAGTCCACCTGTCCCAAAGCTCTGGTATGACTTTGGTGACCTATTGCCTGGGTATCTTCTGCACTCCTCCCTGATGTACCTCCTTGCTGCCTCGAGCCCTATGAGGTACCCTCAGGGCGCCTGGTTCCTGCCTGCACATACCCAAGGCCCCTATGAAGTTTGACCCTTCCTCTAACTTGGTAGAAATTATTTACATTTTGCAGACAAGGAATTCAGGGCTCAGGGAGGTTAGGAATTGGCTGCTGCTATTTACACACAGTTCTTAGTATATGGCAGATGAATAACGGGCATTACAGGAAGGTCCACCATGCAAATGGGCGGATGAGGTATATCTTGGAACCAGGGCAGTTGCTCTTTAGCTGCAAAGCTTTACAATGTATAGTCATGTTTATTATGAATGTACTAGATTAGCTTAACTGAATCCTAAGGTAATAGGTACAAGGCAAATTGTTTTTCACTGTAAAGGAGGGAGAGGAGAAGGTTCTGAACTTTGGATGCCACCAGTAAGACAGTCATTGTTATTGTTACAACACCAAGTGTACAGTAGTACTACATGATACCAACTAAATAAGTAATGTGCATTTAAAAGGGCCTGAAAAAAATTTTGTTGTAATCTTAACAGTGGATACATCCAGGTAAGAGCCAAAAGTGATTATTTTATATTATTAAAAACATTTTTTCAAACTTTCACTCTTATAATCGGTATGCATTACTTTTATAGTCTGAAAAACATGTGGTATCTTATAATATATATGACCATCAAATTAAGAACATGGGCATCAAAGGATACTATTAAAAAGTGAAAAGACAACTCATAGAATGGGAGAAAATATTCACAAATTATATATCAGATAAAGGACTAGTATTAATTATTAGATATAAATAAAGACCTCTTACAACTTAACAGTAAAAAGATACATAACTCAATTTAAAGACAGGCAAAGGATTTGAATAGAAATTTACCCAAAGAAGATATACAAGCAGTCAATAAGGATATGAAAAGATTCTCAATATCATTAGTCATTAGGGAACAGCACATTAAAATCCCGAGATACCACTTCATACCAATTATAGGATATATATAATTGAAAATAGTATAGTAACAACTGTTGGCAAAGATCTGGAGAATCCTCAACATGGGAATGTAAAATAGTACAACCACTTGGAAAAGTTTGTTCCCTAAAAAGCTAATCATAAAGCTTCCATATAACCAAGAAATTATATTCCTAGGAATACACCCAAGAGAAATGTAAACACATTTACACAAAAACTTGTATATGAATGTTCATAGCAGCATTATTCTTAAGAGCCAAAAAGTGGAAGCAATCCCGATGGAATATTATTCAGCTGTAAAAAGGAGTGAATTACTGATACATGCTTCAGATGGATGAACCTTGCAAATATTATGTCAGGGTTAAGAAGGCAGCCCTAAAGGCCACACATTGTATATTTATATTTATATGAAATATAATGGGGGAGTAAAATATAATATAGTGGGGGAGAACTGGGGTTTCTAATTGGAATGATGAAAATATTCTGGCATTAGATAATGGTGATGGTTGCATAACTTAATGAATATATTTTAGAAAATCACTGAATTATACATTTTAAGAATAAACTTTATGGTATGTGAATTGTACCAATAGAAAAATGACTAAAAATGAAGTGAAATTTCAAATACAAATCCACTAAAAATTCAGAATCTCCCATACTTCTGATTAATTTGCTTCCTTCTGAGGACCTATGAAGTAAGTGTTTACTGACCAAATGAAAGGAAGGAGAAATAAAGGGGTGGGGGGCACTTTGTGTATTTCACAAATCCTCCTCACCATGCCCTCCCATCACCTTGGAAATAAGTATTCTTTTTATAGAATCGTAGACATGGCGGCGGCAGGGGGCGGGTAGAGTAGATACAGTGAATCCACATACACTGTTCTACAGATGAAGAAATTGAGGTCCATAAGGAAGAAACAGGTTTGCATACTGTTACCCCCTGAGTTGCAAAGGGGCTGAGACTAGACATGAGATTTCATGTCCCTAGGTACCTTTGAGCTGTCTTTTGCCTGTCCTCTTAACAGGCGGGGGTCATCAGTTTCAGGCATTTGCAGGTGTGCTTTGCCGTAAACAAGTAGGGAAGCATCAATTTCACAGCCTCTACTCCCCAGAGGCCAGCATTTCACCTTGTTAGGTTTGGTGACTTTTCACTTGAACGCACTTGCAAGAATATTGTGAGAAGTGTAAGGACGCGCTGGGCGTGTCGCTCTGGAAGGGTCAGTGAGGACACGCCCCCACCCCCTTAAGAAAATCGGTGATGGGAGAACTGGCATTAATGGTATTTTTTGTCTTGGTAATACTTGGTTTTTGTAAAGTCAGTCCTCCCGCCCTGTCGCCAAGCTCTTGCTCGGTTTATTCAAACAACATTGAATTTGTAAGAAGATTCAAGTCACAGCCTCTCATTCCTACCCATCTCTCATGCACCCACGGGGAATGCTCTGAATGGAGTGTCTGACTTCCTAAGTGGGTTCTCAGCTCCCGATGCCGGCGCTGCGTCTTCTCTGGCGTCCCGCGAACACCCTTTGGACGCGCATACTCTCCCTTCCACGAGTCTGTCCCTCAGCTGAGCAGGAGCAAACGCACGGAGGAAACAAGGCCAGTCCAGGGAACAGTAGAAGGTTTCTGGCTGCCCCAGTGACGATCCTGCTCTGGCACCTGCAGACTCCGGAGTCCTGTCTCACCAGGGGCCAAAAAACAAACCCACAGCCGCAGAGTGATTTCCTAGTGGTGTGGAGGGTGGGGACAGTAAAAAGACGCTAGGCGAGGGTGCCAGCCTACCCGGTCCTGGTGCCTCTCCTGGTCAGACAGGATAGACCTGAACGGATGCAAATTGCCCTGGGGTCTGGGTTTTTTGCCCTGGGGCGGTGGGAAGTAAACACACTTGGGCAGGGGGAGGGCGAGGGGACGAAGCGGCTCCTCCGCATGGTTCCTCGGTGCAGAAGCCAGCCCGCCAGGCCGGGGCGAGGCGGTGGAGGTGCGCGAAGGTACCTCAAGGCTCGGCGGAGTGGCGAAAGCGCGCAGGCGCACTGGCGCCCGCCCGCCGGCTGGCCTCGGGGTACAAAGAAGCGCGGCGGAGAGCGGGGGTTCCTTGAGTTCTCGGGAGCCGCTTGGGACTCCCTCCCCCCCGGCTCCGGGACGCAGCCTCGGGCGTTTCCCAGTCAGTGTCTGAAGCTTGCCAGTCTCCGCCGACTTCTTCGCCCCTGCAGTGGCTGCCGGCCCAGCCCGTTTTCGGGGTTTAATTCTGGCGCTTGCCAGCCGGGGCCGGCTCCTCCCTCTCCGCTCCGCCCCCTCCTGCGAAGTGCTGGCGCCTCGGCTGAGTTTGGGAGCGGCGGGCCCGGCGGGGCAGGTTGGGAGGAGCGCCTGGAGGTGAGTGGGGCCGGGCGCGGCGCACCGCCCTTCTCCCCAGCGCGGGGGCGCCCGGGCTCCGACCCCTGCCCCGGGCCGGCCCCCGCGCCCAGCCAGGCAACTTGCGCGGCGCACAGTGGCCGTGGCGTGGCGGAGGGCAGCCCCCGCGGGCTCCCGCTTTCCCGGGTTGCCCCGGGGGCCTCAGGGCGGGCCTAGGGACGGGGTCCCAGAGGTTGCTCGGACTGGCGCGCGCTGCGGCGGCGGCTCGGGACGGTCTGGAAGGCGAGGCCAGGGCGCCTGGGTCCGGGCAGCGGGAAAGTCCGAACCGGGCGACGGGAGGGTGCGGGCGCACCGCCCTTAGGCACCCCCGGGCCCTCTATTAGTCCAGGATGGGGTGCGAGACCCTCTCCGAGGAGGCATGCGGTGAAGTTCTCGGCGCCGCTCCGCAGCGAGGGAGTGGCGGTTGACCCCTTTATCTCTCCGTGCTGAGCAGCAGGTGGCCTCGGGACGCCCTGTGTCCACTCCGAGATGGCTCTGGCCGGGGCTGGAGGGGCCGGGAGGTGGAGGAAGGGGCGTGGGAGCGCTGGGCCTCCGCGATCCGCCGCGCCTGGAGGGGACAGCGCGGACTTGTGGAGAGCCCGCGGCGTCAGGTGGAGAGAGGACGTGAGTGCCCGTGGCGGACGCGATCCCTGAACGCCCCCCACTACCATGCCACTTGGGCAAATGTGCAGGGAATCCCACGACCACTGCAGCCACCTCCACTTGGGTCGCCCTTGGAACTTTCAGAGGCAGCTCTTGGTGGATCCTGCCGGTCAGCAAGGGCTATGCTGCACCAGGGTCACTTGGTGAAGATTTTGGCCGAGTTAGTTAAAAATAATCTATGGCGTCCCCCAGCGCTCGCCCTCCGTACAGCTCTCCACGGAGGTTTGTCTCGTATTAATGAATGAAATACGTCACGAGAGCCCTGAGACTACTAAGGAAGATTAATAGTCCAGATCTGTAATTGTGCAGTTTTTTACCCCATCTTCATCCCACCCTCTCCCCCACCCTCTCTGAACTGGAAGGAAATCAGGGCCTGTTTCCTCTTTTTTAATTCATGAGTTTATTCAGCTTGATTGTAGGTGGTACTTAGCTGTTATCTTTACTAGTTTGTTCCTTTCATCTAACTTTATTAAAAAGTTGAATTTCCCACTTTTTTTCTAAACATATTTGTTTAAAAAAATTGAGATATAATAAACATGCCATTAATTTATCCTTTTAAAGTGTACATTTCATTGGTTTTTAGTATATTCAAAAGCTATGCAGTCATCACTACTATCTAATCCCAGAACATTTTCAACAGTCCAGAAAAGAAACCCCATACCCATTAGTAGTCACGCCCTATTTCCCCTTCCCCCAGCCTCCCACTCCTTCATTTACAGCCGAAGTTTTCCCAAGATAGAGATTGAATGAGAAAGCTGAGTGATAATTAACTTCAGTTTTTTTCAGTTTGGGGAAAGGTGCTGCTGCTGAAGCGGTGGAAGAAAAATGAAGTAAGGACTGTCCTCTAGTGAGGATGGAGGAGAAGCAGCCAGTGGAGGAATAAAATTGCCTCCTTTAAAGATGCACGAAGTAGGAATGCATTTCATCCCCATATGGCACAGGGTGCTCTCTGCACTCTAGATTTGCCACATCCACAAATCATTAATTGATGTTCTACCTCAGCAAAAGGGAATTCTGTTTTGAGTGTGTGTGTGTGTGTGTGTTTGAGGGGAGTATTAGAGAAAACCAAGGACGGAAGGTTTAAAAACAGTTCTGTTTTTAGATCAAACAGGCCCCAAGGAAAGAAACAGGCAGATGGCCACTAGAATCCATAGAGTCAATACTTCGGTTCATTTTGTGAGTATGGGCACGTGCTGGCAAATAGTCTTGTGAACCAATGTGCTCATGCAGGAACTCCTGCTCTGGGAGGAGAAAGAGGATGGGTGAAGTCTAGTTGGAGGACTCGAGAAATTAGAGAGGGGAGCAGGAGAAAGTCTGAGAGGGGCAGTGCTGGTAGAAGTGGAGGTCCGTAAGTGGGAGCCCATTCAGAAGGGGATCTCAATGAAAAACTACAAACACTTCGCTTGGGCACTTGTTGGATTATTTGTGCATGCTTTAAACATCATATTTTAGTGGGTAGAGTTGAAGCCATCCAAATTATACAACCACCACCACCACTCTGCCCTCCAGTCAAATAAAGGAGGCAAGTTGGTTACAGGGTATTTTCTGCCAATTGCTGCATGAATGGCTTGGCTTATGCCATATTTTTATTTTAAAGTAATTTTTAGAGTTGAACTATAACATACATGTAAATCTTAAGTGTACAACATGATGGATTTTCACCAAGCGGACATAAACTTATAACTAGCACTGAGATCAAGAAACAGAATGTTGCCATATTGCAGAAGATTCCTCATAATGTTTTCCAGTCACTCTTTCTCCCCAAGGGTAACCACTGCCCCAGCAATAGATTAGTTTTGCCTGTTTTCATGCTCTATATACGGAGATCATACAGTATGTTTTTTTTGTATCTGGGTTCTTTCTCTCCAAATTATGTTCATGAGATGTGGCTATGTTGTTGCATGTGGCCGTGGTTCAGTCATTATCATTGCTGTGCAGTAGTCCTCTGTGCCTATATGCCAATTAAACCATTCTAGGGTTGATGGGCATTTGTGTCTCTAAACTTTGCCTATGGTGAATAGTATGACTTTGAGCATTCTAGTACATGTCTTGATACACATACACACATTTGTTTAGGGTATGTACTCAGGAGTAGAACTGCTCAGTTCTAATCAAGTGTTCAGTTTAGAAGACAGTACCAAACAGATTTCAAAGTGGTTGTGTGTTTCATACTTCTACCAGCAGTGAATGAAGAGAGTTCTCAGCTATCTTTTTTAAATTGCAGAAGCAGTATAATCCTTAAGAGAGTTTTGCAAATGGACGAAAGGTAACCATGTTTATTCCATTCAGCAAACTGATTCTTTCTGTTGTGTTCACCTGCAGTGTTTTTCAATGTCTGTTCATATTTTTATGGTGTCATAATCTTAGTATTCAATTTTATATTTTGTTTATGTCTTAACTATCTATCTAAATACTGCTTCAGTCTCCACAACTTTCTAAGTCCTGCATGCATCCACATTCCCAAGCACATGTTTTCACTTAATCCATTGCTGGAAATGTGTGTTAATTTTTTGGAGTTTCACTAGTATATATTGTTTCAGGAATAATCTTTATGCATATAGTTTTCCCCCCTTTTAGATTATTTCATAAACTAGAGACTTCCCATTTTATGGCTCTGGATCCTTATTGTTAAATATTACTGGCAGACTGGAGTTGTCCTTGGATCTAGTACACAGTTGCTTAAAGAAATCATTAAATGGGTAATATGTTACCTACAAAAAGGTGTCTCATTTGTTTAAATTGCAATTCTCAAAATAATGGTGAGGTTGACCCTGATAATCTTTTTTATAAATAGGTAAGCAGAACTGTTGTTGTAATATTATTTACCCATCACTGTTTTTCTTTATACGATACTTTTTGCAAAGGTTCTGAGCTAGGAGAGGAGTCATACCATTAGGCTGTTGACTATCCAGAAATTATATATAAAACTTAAAATACCAGGTAAGCAGAAACTTACATGTGACAAAGGAGTGTTTAGTTCACTTAACAGATATAGAAGGTTTGAGTTAAAAGAGGTCTTTCTTGCCTGGATAGTAGTATTGGCTTCTTTAAAAAGTAAGACTTAAGATGAGCTTTAGGGGATCTTTGAAAATTTGCTAGGTTGCAGGTATCTCTGAAGAAAAGGGACTACTGAGACATTTCAGGAAGAGAGATTAACAGTGCACAGGCTACTCTGGACAATATTGATGATAGTGTTTTCCTTACCATTCTTTTTCTGGAAGACAGTGAAAATAAACTAATATAAAAACAGGAAAAAAACCTGTTTTGCGCCTTCAAGTCAGGATCTTCTGGTTTGCATGAACCGTTTCCAGAGGATACCGTGCAGGGGGCTGTTTCTTTGCCTAGTTATACTCTTAACTCCTCCCTTTCACTTTCAAATAAAATTCAGTAAAAATCTCTCCCAGGTGAAGGCTGCTCCACAAGCTTTCATTTGGAATAAACCAGTATCAGTGAGCTCTAATGAATAACAGTTACATTTCTGTTTTATGCAAGGCCCTGTTGGGGAAGTCAGAGACTAAGCCCCTTACAGAGTTCAGAGCAAGTGAGGAAATGCAAAGGTATGGAATTTGCAATAGGGTGCAGAAGGATGAGAGTATCTGATATAAATGGCTCATTCTGGAAATGTAGGGTATGGAGAAACTGCTGAGAGATTTTAGTGATATTTAGGGAGATTGGGTCTTCAAAAATTGTGTTGCAGGTAGAGATTAAAGCATTGCAGGTTAGGGCATTCCTTTTGAGGAAGAAAGGTGGTCCAGCAGGGCTTGGCACATATAGTGTGGTCAGTCACATGCTTGGAGACCCAAGTGAATAGCAATTTGAGATTGTACCCTTTTTCCAGTGGCTGGTTACTGCTGGGCCAGCGTGGTGATATTTGTGAAAATGTTGTAGCTCTGGACCCAGACGAACTAGTTTGGAAATACATTCTGCTGCTTGCTGTGTGACCTTTGGCACAGTTACCAAACCTCTTGATTTCCTGTCTATAATAAGGGGATTTAAAAGCAACCCCCCTCGTGGGGTTATTGTGAGGATTTTAAATGAGTTAAAACACATAGAGAGCACTTAAAAGACTCCTGCTACCCAATAAGTTAAGTGCTAAACATGTTTTGTTTACATTTCTAAAGTAATATTCATACATAAAATAATGCAAACAAAAAAGAAGGGGTCAAGATGAAAAAACACCCATCACTCCTCTGATCCCAGCTCAGCTACAGTCTCTTCTCAGGTGTGATAATTGTTAACTATTTTTTAGTTTTGGTGGTTATCATTGAACAAACCAAAGTGAGTGGCTTAAACAATTGTTTCAGGGTATTATGGGTTCT